AGTTGATGCAGAGTCTGGTTTTAATCCATAAAGGGCATAAATCACCTAAAATTCCTAAATTGTTTGGAATAACGTGCTTTAAAACATCAGGTATGATGTTGTATCAATCAGGTAGTGTAAGGGTTACGCCCACTTCACAGTGACAGACCAAACTCCCCGTTTAACGCACCGCAAACAACCGCAAACAGTCCATTTGCACAACCGCAAACTCCCCATTTGCACAAGGTTGGATACCAAGCTAGCCATGTCCCATTCCTTGTCCTCACTGATGTCATTGAAGGTCTCTTCCTCCACCCAGCCACGTACAACACCAAGGGTCCCCAAAAGGTGACAACAAGCCCCTGGGACGCCTGCTGTGTTTGGTCTTCCACCTCCTCAAAGCCACCTTCCTCCTCTGACTCCTCTTCTTCAGACTCCTCTCTCTGCGTTGCCTCTCTCTGCGTTATTATCAGGTGTGTTAAGTAGTACTATTCCTATCAGTTTAATCCCTGTATATGACATCGATTTTAGGAACCGGGAGATGGAAAAAGATGCTTGGACGGTCCTCCTTCTTCAAATTTGGGGCACTGCGCGTGCAATCTAATGTGCCACCAGATAGGAGTGGTGTGTTAAGTAGTACTATTCTTATCAGTTTAATCCCAATGTCACGACTACTAGTGTGGTCCAGCACGCAGAAACTATGTAAACATATACATAGGCAAGAAAAGGAAAATAAAAGGACAGAGCGTAAACCGGACCTTAGAATGGCCGGACTAATACGCTAGAGACAGAGAATGGTCAAAGGAAAAGCCGAGGTCAAGGAAGCCAAAAAATACACAATACCATTTACACAAACCAAGTCAGGGAAACCAGAATTCAGAATAACCAGGGAAAAGCCAAGATCAGGATACCAGGAAATCAGATTCACAATGATAAAGCACTCTCAGGAAACCAGGAACAGGAAACCACGACAGGGCAAGGTACTGGGGTGAGCTAGGGATTTAAATATCACGCTGCGGTCCGGCAGCCGCAACACTCTGTTACGTCCCCCTCATCAGTCCACTGTCAGTCCTTTCGGGATCCATCCCTCATTCATCTTAATAAAGGTGAGGTAATCTAGACTTTTTTGACCTAGGCGAATTCTCTTCTCAGTGACAATACCTCCTGCTGCACTGTAGGTCCTTTCTGACAGGACACTTGAAGCAGGGCCAGAAGTTCTATAGCAAATTAGGATAGCTCAGGCCACAGGTCACGCCTGCACACCCAGTAGTCAAGGGGTTCATCGCTCCTCAGAGTGTCGATATCTGCAATTAAGGCGAGGTAGTCTGCTACCTGTCGGTCGAGTCGTTCTCTGAGGGTGGACCCCGAAGGGCTGTGGCGATGCGGTGGGTGGGGTCCTAAATGAAAATCCTCCCCCCCCCTTCCAAGATGACTAGGGGTCACCAAGCCCCTAGTCACCCCCCCACCCAATTAAAAGTTATCCTCTACCTACCCCTCTCACCATAAAAATAGTGAAGGGGTAATAAAATAACTAACCTGTAAATTAAAATAAAGCTTACCATTTGATGTCTTCTTTCTTCTAAAATCTTCATTTTTCAGCCTCAAAAAAGGCCAACTAAAAAACCATAATACCTGTCGAATTTAAAATAAAATAAAAAACCCAAACGCAAAAAAAAAACCAGACGAAAAAGGAAAAAAAACAGACGCAAAAAAAAAAATCCATCTTCACCCATGGAGGGCTCCGCGCAGACTGAGCTCTGCACGGCGGGGGAAGGCTTATAAAGCCTTCCCCCGCCCTGCAATTAGACTAAGAACACTCTGATTGGTTGGTTTAAGCCAATCAGAGTACTCTTTGTCATTTTACACAGGTGGGAAAGTTCTTTGGAACTTTCCCACGCTGTGTAAAATGACACAGAGCACTCTGATTGGTTAGATTCCAAGTCCACCAATCAGAGTGTTATGAGTAGAGTTGAGCGGACACCTGGATGTTCGGGTCCGGCGGGTTCGGTCGAACTTTGAAAAAAGTCTGGGTTTGGGATTGAACTTGACCCCGAATTTGACCCTGAACCCGAACCCCATTGAAGTCAATGGGGACCTGAACTTTTGGGCACAAAAATGCCTGTAAAAAAGTCCTGGAAAGGGCTAGAGGGCTGCAAAATGAAGTAAAATGGGGGTAAGAGTAGGACAAGTGCCCTGCAAACAAATGTGGAAATTACTTAAAATAACATAAAATACCTAAAAATTTAAAATACAGCTGAGCCATAAAATAGCACTAGATGGAATCTTTGATTTTAGCTTTGGAAGATCATAAATCAAAATCTAAAGCATGGCTGTCAGGAGGATCACCAGAATTATCCATTTGAGAGAGGGTTGGAGTGCAGGGCATCTCTTTCATTGTTCAAACTGAGCTCAACTCCTGATGCATGGAGAAAAGGCTTTCACAAGCCTCTGCTATTGTGTACATAGTTTATACTAAGTGACCCATAGGTTGAGGAGGCGGTGACCGTGGCGGTGTAGGTGGAAGCGGCGGTGAAGGAGGAGGAGGTAGCCAACACTGTTTTTTTATTTGTTTTTGTTTTTTTAATTGGGTTAGCCCCCAAAATATTGGGACATATAAAAAAAGAAAACTCTGTTCCGCAGAGCGACTGACCAGTGCGTGCTGCATCTGAAACTCTACTATCACCTGCTGCTGCTCGCACAGTCTCATGAGGCGGTGAGCGAGAGGCCAAAGTTACACTGCAGCACAGACAGGCGAGCAGCAGCAGAGTGAGAACGCCGAAAGCGCGCACAAACGGCCCGCATTTTCTGCAGCAGTTCTGATATGTCTGTGTATACACCGTGGTGGTGTAGGTGTAAGCGGCGGTGGAGGAGGAGGAGGAGGTAGCCAACACTGTTTTTTTTGTTTTTGTTTTTAAATTGGGGTAGCCCCCCAAAAATTGGGAAATATAAAAAAAGAAAACTCTGTTCCGCAGAGCGACTGACCCATGCGTGCTGCAGCTGAAACTCCACTATCGCCTGCTGCTGCTCGCACAGTCTCATGAGGCGGTGAGTGGGAAGGCCGAAGTTACACTGCAGTGCAGACAGGCGAGCAGCAGCAGGGTGAGAACGCCAAAAGCGCGCACAGACGGCCTGCACTTTCTGCAGCAGCTCTGATATATCTGGGTAGTTTTTCAGGAATTTCAGCACATGCGCCAGGCAAGGGATGTGCGTCAAACCAGCTAGGCCCAGAGCTGCTACGAGATTTCGCCCATTATCGCACGCCACCAGGCTGGGCTTGAGGCTCAGTGGCAACAACCACTCATAGGTCTGTTGTTCCATGCCCGTCCACAGCTCCTGCGCAGTGTGGGATTTTCCCCCCAAATATATGAGTTTTAAAACAGCCTGCTGTCGTTTCCCCCTGGCTGTGCTGAAGTTGGTGGTGAAGGTGTTACGCTGCCCGGAGGAGGAGGAAGAAGTGGAGTAGGAGGAGGAGGCAACAGGAGGCAAAGCTGTGTACCCAAATAAAGACTGTCAAACGTTGTAACCTGGAACTGTGTCCCATTCGGTTACTGGGGAAATGGGTCTGACCTATTCTAATCAAAGGGTGTAGCAAACTCACTCCTTTAAGAGAGTTTGCCATGAGCTTTTGGAGGGGCTTGCTTGCCCGCCTCCTGCCATGGGACTATGGCCCTGGGGGTATTGCCCTTTAAAGACAGTATTTGGGCATGATGGATTTTTATTATGCGGCTACTGACCCTTTATGCACAGTGTATGGACTTCTATTAGACTGTGTATAGATTGTGTATAGGAATCCCCCGTTTCCTGTCACATTGTTCTCCAGCAGGGCGTTGTGCCAGGCACACTGCCAGACTAGTTGGAACTGGTTTGGGCTGGAAAGTTTGGGCTGGAAAGCCATGCTTCAGTGGCCCTAAAGGGACCTCCACAAAACTTTAAACCCCCATAACTCCTGAACCCCTGATCTGATATGGGTGATTTTTGGATATGTGTCTCATCCAGATCAGGGCTACCAGGGGATGTAATATTTAAAGGTGTACCCCTAGGTTTAGGGGTACATCCGGAAAACAAGGGGAACTGTGTCCTGCATAATGGGATTATGTGTCACACTAAGGGGAGGGGATGTGTGGGTGGCAACTCACAGATTCTATTGGATTTATTACTTGTTCCTCTTAAAGTATTTGGCGGAGTTAAGCTGTGGGAAATCAGCTCTCCGCTACAAAGGGGATAACCATTGGTTACCCAGGTCCCGCTTCAATTGATGGCAAGCGGCGAGATCCCATGTCCCTGCCAACAGACCCATGGACTACAGTGCTCTAAAGCGACCTACACTGCAGGACTTGTGTGGAGCCAGAGGAATAACGCCTGGTGGGCGTAACAAGGCCAAATAGACTGCTGCGCTCATGGAGGATGAACAGGCATGCAGTGAGGCAACGAACCCAAGCCAGGGGCCGGAGATGAGGAGGCAGTGAGCAAGGAGGTGTAATGGCGCCTGGCATATTACTGAGAGCCACCCTCAGAGGAGTTTGTCAGCAGGACCTTTTTGGAGGTGCAAGCCTATGTCCTTGCCAATAGACAGAGGGCGACCTCCATGAACCCAGATGAAGGAAGAAGGGAGCAGAGGGCGCCGTGAAGCACAACCACCCTGGCCCACAAGCTACCATACAAAGCCTTCAAAGACTTCAAGGAAGCAGAAGAAGGCATCAATGACTTTTTACAAGACTTTGAGCGCCAGTGCCTACTCCAAGACATGGACCCCAGCGACTGGGTCACCATCCTGGCCAGTAAACTAGTGGTGACGGCAGCGGATATTTACCGGGCTGTACCAGAAGAGCAGATCAGAGACTATCCCTTTATTATACAAATCCTCCTGGCCCGGTATGCGGTCACCCCCGAGCAATAACACTGAAAGTTTAGGGAGACCCTGAAAGGAGAGAAGGACTCCCATGCAGAGTGGGCATGCCGCATCACAAGGGCCACCCAGAACTGGCTCAACTCCCATCAAGCCAAGTTCCCGGAGGAGATCACCCAGCTCGTCATGCTAGAGCACTTTTTCAATGGGCTCCCCAACACAAGGCGGTGACGCATTCGTATGTCATCCATATCAACTTTCGATGCCACTTTCTGCGCCTACCATGGTGACCATGGGTAACGGGGAATCAGGGTTTGATTCCGGAGAGAGAGCCTGAGAAACGGCTACCACATGCAAGGAAGGCAGCAGGCACGCAAATGACCCACTCCCGGAAGGTAGCGACGACAAATAACAATACAGGATTCTTTAGAGGCCCTGTAATTGTAATGAGTCCTCTTGAAATCCTTTAACTCTGATCAATTGGAGGGCAAGTCTGGTGCAGAGCGACTGACCCGTGCATGCTGCAGCTGAAATTCCACTATCGCCTGCTGCTGCTCTCTGAAGCTGCATTAGGGTCCTGGTATGTGGCCGCACAAACGCTGGTGTTCAACACCAAAGGGGGTGCAAATCTAAAACCAGTGTAAAGGGGGTGCTTCACAGTTTATAGCAGAAGAAATAAATCTAGTACCAGCAGCTAGAAAACCGTTAGTGGATTTCCCAATACTCCACTTTAGTACGAAATGTGAACACAAAAACGGACTTCTAGGTTTAGGTGATAATTCCACCACCTAACACTCAGAGACCCAAGGTGCAGCGCTTAGATAAATTACACTTACCCCATAGTTATATATAGGGGTTTTTCTCATATGTATATAGGGAAAACAAACAAAGAGAGAATATAATAGTGTAATATTGTATTACTAACGATGGACAAATAAATTCAAAAGAGTATGTCCACACACTCACATTTTTCTGAGCCTTTTTCGATATCGGCTCAGAACAACAGGTAGATCTGGAATTTCAGGTATACCAGAAAACCTTCTTTGGTGTATTCACTCCCCCTTTGTAGAGATAGGGATAAACAAAAAAAATAGAGCAAACAAGCTAGGTGACACTGATTTGTACAGACATCAAATATACTGCATCAGATACCCTCCACCAGACCCTGCTAATCCATTCCACACTGTGACTCATAACTTCAACATCTGGCATACTGGGTCCCGGTCGTCCAACTACCACCCAGACAGTGTCTGGGTCCAGGTCACCGGTCTGTTGTCCTGACTGTGAAACTGAGTCATTAAATAAGTTATGGTTCCTTTGATCGCTACATCTGTTACTTGGATAACTGTGGGAATTCTAGAGATAATACATGCCGAGGAGCGCAAGGGGACGGCCGCTCCGCTTTTGCATCCTGCTCCCTCTTATGCTGATGTAGTAAATTCAAATCAAAGTTCCATTTGCCCAAAAAAATTCTCGCTCACCTTCTGTGGGTTATTGCATTTTTAAGATGTAGACTAATTGTATCACACTAGCCATGCACAGGTAAATTGTCTGGCACGTTGTTTTGGTGTTTGGTTTTTAACTTTGTAGTTGTGTCTTTACACAATATAGAAATGTATATTAATGCTTCTGTATATGAAGCGATCACAATAACATTTTTTTTTTTTTTTTTTAAATCAGGCTAAACAAGAATTGGTAATTAGCAATATGACATCTGAAAAGCACATGAAAGGATGCTGTATGATGTTAAAAAAAAAGAGCACACTACATGAAGGTCCTGTTCACTAGAGTGTGTAGTCATGAATGTAACCAGTCAAACTTTGTTTTTACAGCCACCGGTTGTCCCATACAACTTTTACAACTTGTTTAATTTTGTTATAGCATGACTTGTAGTCTTGTTTTTAACTTATTTTTGTAAGACACTTTGTGTGTTTTTTCATTGATTATTGAATTTTAATGGTATAAGATAATTAACATGTAAACAAGCAAACGTAACCCGAATGATTTGTCTCGGTCTTGCCTTCTATAACACCTGCCCCATAGGCAACATTTATTTGTCTTTACACTTTCTTGAGAAACGATAACTAGCCAGTGTTGCACACATACACTAGATATGAAGTACACACCCCAAATGTACTATTTAGCACCAAAACAATTAGAATGTTTACAACTGCGCTGTAACTGCAGTATTTGACGGTTCTATTTGACTCTCAGATATGAAGTGTAGGCCCCAAATGTAATATTTAGCAGATTAGCACCCAAAAAATAAGAATGTTTCAAGCTGCGCTGTAAGCGCAGTATTTGATGCTTCTATTTGACTTTCAGATATGAAGAGCACGCCCCAAATGTACTTCTTAGGAGCAAAAAAATGGGAATTTTTTCAGAGGAAAGGCCTGCATGCTAACTCGGCTCCAGGGAAGCAGGCAATAAAACAAGCTGAAAACCGATCGCTAACGAAAATGGGGAACCCCAAAAGGTCGCAGAGCACCCATGCAAGCAGTGGGAAAGCACCCGCAGAGAAACCGGGCTTGGTTTCTAAGCTCCTCAAGGACTATTACGGCCGCATAATGGAACATGGCGGGACAAAAATGGTGCCGATGGCGGGAGAACACCTCTCCAATCCACTGAGCCCTGCTGCCTCCGAGACATCAGCAGTATCTGCAGACCAAGACATCAAGGAGCTGCTCAGAAATCTGCCCTCCAAGGCAGACCTAACTGCAATGCTGGAGAAATTGGAAACTTCCTTCCAGCGCAAGATGGAGGGATTGGGATCTGAAATCCAGCAGGTAGGCCTCCATGTCCAAGACCTGGAGGAGAATAGGGGACAGGTACAGACCCAACTAAACACCCTGTCAGACCATTTAGACGCCTACAAAATGCAAATGTCACAGCTACAAAGATCGCTAGATGACATTGACTACAGGGGGCGCAGAAACAACCTCAGAATCTGTCAGGGTACCTGTTGGTGCTGAATCCAGGGAAGACATCCTCTCTGTTTAGGGGCTCCCTGCCCCTAGCATTTTCGGCATATTTCGGCCGTTTTCGCGCCGGCCGCGCTAGCTCCTCCCCCTTTTTATGACGCGACGGCTAGCGTCGACGTCATGACGTCGGCATTTGCATAAAGTGCCGGGAACCGCTATTCCGGACCTTTTGGGGGCGTGGTCTCTATTTAGGTACAGGGTATTTAAAGGAAACCTTTACTACTGCTCATTGCCCTGTCGTAATGTCAGGATACTGACAGGGATCCAATACGCAGAGTGCGGACAGAAGGAGGTACGTATACCGGACCTTAGAATGGCCGGACTAACGTAGGGACAAAGCAGAATAGTCAAAAGATAAGCCGAGGTCGAGGGAGCCGGAGGACAGGTAAGCGAGATACAAGCCGAGTCAAAGGAGAGGAGAGGACAACAGGACAAAAGACAAGCAAGGGTCAAAACCGGAAACACAAGATAAAGAACGCGCTGAGTGACTAGCAAGCTAGAACCACGACAGGGCAATGAGCAGTAGTAAAGGTTTCCTTTAAATACCCTGTACCTAAATAGAGACCACGCCCCCAAAAGGTCCGGAATAGCGGTTCCCGGCACTTTATGCAAATGCCGACGTCATGACGTCGACGCTAGCCGTCGCGTCATAAAAAGGGGGAGGAGCTAGCGCGGCCGGCGCGAAAACGGCCGAAATATGCCGAAAATGCTAGGGGCAGGGAGCCCCTAAACAGAGAGGATGTCTTCCCTGGATTCAGCACCAACAGGTACCCTGACAGAATCAAGGGCCTACCTGAAACTGAGGCTGAAGACTTACAAGCATCACTGCAATAATTATTTAACTTACTATTAGAGCAACAAGCATCAACACCGATCTGCTTTGATAGGGCACACCTATCACTCAGACCTAAAAACAACAATGGGGACACCCCTAGGGACGTCATATGTCGTTCACAGACAAGGACCGCATACTTAAGAAACTAAGGGACACCAATCCACCATTGCTGTTCAATGGGCACGAGCTCCAAATTTATCAAGATCTCTCGTGGCTCACTCTCCAAGCACGGCGGCACCTAAAACCGATCACAGACCAACTGCGTGCTAGAAACATCAGGTACAGATACCCCATCTGTACCTGATGTTTCTAGCACGCAGTTGGTCTGTGATCGGTTTTAGGTGCCCCCTAGCCTTTATTATTACGCTCAAAGGGACTAATCATAGCTGAACATAGAGACGTGACCCCATTCATAAGAGCACTGAAACTTGCAGAGGTACGCATTATGGACTGGTATGCGTTGGACCCAGCACAGACCTTTCACCGACACCCGAGGGAACAACGGAGACGCTCACCACCCAAGTGGCAGAGGACAGACTCAACAGGCCACAGAAGGGGTGAAGACCACCTACCCGCTCAGCGGACATGAAGGAACCACGACACGCGCTAGGTCTTTCCAGGGATGTTATACCGCAAACCTCGTACCCCAAAACTAAAAGAACTGACTCAAACCGTGAACTACAACAGGCCCCTGGCACACTACACCAGGCCCCAGCCACCTCACCTTCCCACCTCACACCAGAGAGACACAACAACGAAGAGTAACTCGCAGACAGAGCTGCAGAGGACGTACGGGAAGATCGAGCTGGGCCTGATACCAAGACATGTACCAACATGCCACTCCTCAAAGACATAACGAGGAGCACAAGATACTTGCACGGACCAGGTTGTATACTCATATTATTGCTGTTGGCTTATGATGTATTATTGTACGTTGACCGTAGTACCAGAAGCTGACCAAGGCTACCTGACTACACGGAGGAAGCAGTGGGACAGTGGCTGACCATTGCCGCTGCACTCACACAGGGCCACACTCAGAGGTACGGGAGAAAAAAATAAATAAAATAAAAATATATATATATTACGCTTGGGTAACCACAACATCTCCACCCTGGAACCTGGCTCCTTCCCTTCCCCCACGCCACACCCCATTACACAACACCTAAACTCAAGCTCACCTTCAGCATCGACTGAACATACCAAACGCAAGTGCCTGCTTGCCCACCGATACATGCACGCCGTACACCAACACTACAGCAGTCAGACAGGCTGCAACGCCACTAACGCACCTCACTGAGGACCCAGCATTACACCTACACCACCACAAATAACACAAAGCAGAATTCCTGTACATAGTTAACTCTGGAAACATAGATTATCCGGGCAGGGGATACCCATGCCCCCTTGACATCTCTGGCAGAGTGTGAGACCAGAGTTTTTGTTCATATTTATTTATATTTGTTTATGTTTATAATTATTTTCTGACTATTAATGCTGTCTTCTCCTTTTGCTGAAAAGGTCCACTACCAAACATTATAGCAGACAAGGTTGCCCCACGAAAACACATTGGCAGCCTCCCGCGACCCGG